AACAATACTCAGGTAACTCCAATCACTAGGCCACCTTTCTTTTTTTAGTCCATAATATCAATTCTTTTTCTTAAAATATCCACCTTTCAATGAAAATTCCTTACTCTATTGGTCAGAAGGAAATTCTTCCACCAATCTTCAAAACATTAATGATTCTGGTTAAGTTGCTCGAACTTGGATACAATTCGTAGTCCTTGGTGTCACCCGAACCTTCTTAGCACAATTCTCCGTTGCTAAGGGCATCGGCCATGACTTTGCTTCTTGAAGTAATAGCACTTTTCCAAGTCATAACCAATTTCATTCCAACGTGGATATCACAAGCTCAAGACCAACTTAGTGAAGATGTCCTATAGATTCTTATGATCCTCCTAGATGTCACTTTTGCTTCTAAGAAGATATTACTTCCATGCTCCATAATGGATAACTCCAGATAACATGTTAGTTAGTTCAACTCACGCTTCCTTAGTTGACTTAATGAATAAGCCACTACTTTTCTTCTGGTTTAAGGACACATCCCACACCTTAACAAGATGCATCCTAGTGGATATAAAGCTCTTGTCCTGATCTGGCAAAGCTAATTCTTAGGTTTTACTCCAACCTCTTCTTGGATTCCTTCAAACATTTAGCTGAGGTCTTTTGATCCAAATGAACTTAAAACCTCTTCTAGTAGCATTATCAATATCTTGATGATCTTGGTTAAACCTCCCTTGAACCTTTAATCAAACCTCATTGAGACTCTGAGTTTCTCTCACATCTTTCGGGTACCACCATGCTTCCGCTGCGCAAACTAGAACGTAGGATACTTCACCTTGCAAATTCTTCAACTTGGCTACCCCCTTAAGAAAAGATAGACTAGGGGATACTAAAGTATAGCTTGCATCTCCTTCTTTTAGATGAGCTAACTAGTATCAAGATGTTCTAACATCCCAACGATACTCTTGTGTATGGGCAAGAACAAGAAACCTAAAATTCCTCGCAAGATGAAAACAGCAGTGTAGTAAAACAGCTGTAACTCCCATTCTATTAATCCAATGAAGTTGTAGCTTATATCGTTGGAAAGCTTACCAAATTCTCTACAACTTCCTTATAGAATACTTTTTCCAAATTCTACAGTTGACTTGGTTGAAAACAGTGCACAACAGAAACTATTCCAGGTTCTAAACAGCACAGATGTATCGCCTTGTGATTTTTGTATCTCCATAAACAAAATAGCTATCTGGTTGATTCTTGCACTCAGAGAAAGATGTTGAAGTATACTATTATCTAGAATTTTCTCATGATTTATGATTGTCCAAAATCAGAGATATCAGCCGAAGAGTGCAGACTGCTCTGAAAAGATAGGATAGAGGGAACAGAAGAAAACCATAACCCACTATTTATTGCACTGATTGTTATACCTTAGGCCTATAAACTAAATGAAATTGTGGGAACACCCAACAAGATCATTGCAATCATTACAAAGATTCAAAACAATTATAAGCATAATGACAATTTAACAAGCAATAAAGATGCACAACTCAATCATTGACTCAACTTGCGATACTATCGCCCTCATTGTACTAGGGGTAACAATCCTAAGACTCATCTTTAGATTACACAAGAAGGTGGTGTGGAACAGTTCTAAAAGTATATCAAACCAACGGGTGAAGATGAGAACAAAGGCTTAAAACAAGCATCAAGGAGGAGATAAATATCAAGGATAGATATATAGTAGAGAAGAAAATATCAAGATTTATATAACAAGGATTTTATAGCAATTTCAAAACCTTAAGATGGCTAATTTCTAACTAGGCTTGCGTCCTACAGTCAGCATTGCTCTGATACCACTTTGTAGCACCCGGTTTTAAGAACAAACCAGATACACACCATATGTGAGCCCAGGAAGTCAAATCTCACATATAGCTACAAATAAGGGTAATATCGAAAGACAATGCTCAATATATAACATACTTAGTATAAAGAATATAACCTTAGATAGCAAACAGCAGAAAGACAACTCTGATCTCTGGGTGAAGACTCTAATTCCATGGGACAACTAACTGGTTGATCACAAGCCTAATTTCTCCAAACTCTAGCAATCTGGTACCCATCCGGGATTTTTATCCAAATAATTGAAAAAATAAAACAAGCGTAAGTACATGTCGTACTCAACAAATATAACATGGGGTTTATGAGGCTCAAAAGGCTGACACTGGCTTAACTGCGATTAGCTTTTAATGTGCCATGATTTTAGCAATAGGGTACAACAAAGTTATCATAAGCCCACAAACACATGATCAGGTAAACATGAATAATGAATAGCATAAACAGTAATCATTAATAAACATCTTTATCATCAGTGTTCATCATCTATTCCGTAAGGGTTCCAAGGCCTCTCATGACCGTGAGCACGGCTAATATACCAGTTTTACACTCTATAGAGGTTGTACACTTTCACCATGAGTCGGATGGCTCTTGATTGAAGATCGGACGGCTGAGAGCAAAGACGGAAGAGCTGGCCCCTGAAAGGAAAGAAAAGAAGTGCCATTGTTGGCGTTAGGGAAGCTCATGGCTTTCACGTTGGCGTTACAAAACGCAAGGCGAGGACACTAGGTGAGAGAGAGGACGGGGCGAACTCCAGTCTTTTGGCATGCTGAGCAAGAGTCCACAAAAGGTGGACGCATGATTAGGTGGCTGGACGGCAGCGGCCAGGCGAAGGGGACTAGGTGAGAGCTAGGGATTGAAAGGAGGGCGAACCCCAGACCCTTGGGGGATTTTGGGGGCGTGTGAGAGCAAGAGGAGGCAAGAAGGTCACAAGGTGGGTCTCGGAAGGTGAACGAGGCAACACAGGTGGGTCGGGACCTTGCCTCAGCAGCGCTTGGGCCGAGATGGGAACACAACCAGGCGTGCTTTTGGACCAACCTAGAAGGTGATTGGTCAGAGAGTTGGGCATGGGCTCAGCATTAAAGGCCCACTAGAGAGGGAGGAAACTCGCTTGCATTTGGCCCCAGGGAATTGGAAAATAAAATTTTGAATTTGCAAAAGGAGAGGAGAGGGAAAACTTACGGTAGATAAAGGCAAACCCTCGCATTGCTTGTTGCGAATCGGCCGCCTTAGCTCTTGTCGTCTTGACCTTGTCGACAATTTCTCTACTAGCACCAATGGGGCCCCTAGGATGAGGGTCACTATGAACGAGTGAGAGCTCCTACGATGTTCCTGATCTGGGCCATTATTGTTGTCCCTATTGAGCTATTGGATGACGACGGGTTTACTGGTGGAGCTACCGTGCCGTTCTTTATATATAATGGAGGGGAGCATGTAAATTAGGCATGGGTGTGAGGCCACGAGAGCTTCACGGTCAACCATTTGGTGGTAAGTGCATGCCCTTCTTCGCTCCCCACCAATTTTCTGTTTCTTTCGCTTTACCTCATAGATGTTATTACCTTGGCAACCATGCATGGGTTTCACCCATTTTAGCTGGTGGAAACATATCGCAAAGAGGCAAAATGCCAGTGCTTAGTGGGAAATAGTACTTTATTGTTGGCAACAATGTATGGTTTTATAATTTTTTTGGTATAACCGTAAACCAAACCATCATTGCCTATGTGCTAGGCTCCACATCTGAAAAATAATTAAACATCAAACTTGAAAACTAAATTGTTGCTTGTGCAGCCTATGGTAGTCATCTCAATCTTTGTCGTACTCCTCAGTCGTTGCTATCACCTCGTATGCATTCGCCCTATGATTTGATTGACTTGTTTTATATTTGGTTGGGGTTGGTGTTCATAAGGGCTACAATGGCTATATATCATGACAGCAACTGCTCTAGTCATAAGAAACGTAGTTTCTCACGACGACTAGACAATTTGAGAATCAATTAAAAACAAAGGGTTATTGTTTGAGCACGTGTCATTGAACTTACACTAACAAGTTAACTAATTCATTTTTAATGAGCACTCGATGCTTCCGCACGGTGGCTCAATGCTCCGTGTTAGAGTTATTCCTTCTCGAGTCATGGTGCTTTTAGCTCATTCCAGGGTAACACACAGAAGTGAAAGCAGTATGGGGCATTACCCATGTGGGCAAACCTATTTCCCTATGCCTAATGATCTTTCACTATCCCTGGCCTTCATCACGGGCGAAATTCGTTGCCTTTCATGGAGTGTCATAACGCATTACCCGAACAAAACCTTGCTCCATCGTAAACTTCCCATCAACAAAGAGGCAATGTTGATGTGATAGGCGTCCTATCCAGATCATATGCAATAATCTAAGTAGTTGTTTCCATGCCTTGTTTTACAAAGTATTGCTTCTCTACTTGTCCCTAGCAATGTTGTACATAGGGAAATAATTTGCGACGTTATTTGTACTAATGCTTGGTGAGTCATCGGTTTGAACACTTTCCATGGTGGACAAACATTGGTGTATTTTCTCAACCATGCAGCCGGTAATGCTTAAATTTTCTTATGCCCACTCTATCGATAGCGTTCAACCATCAGTACTAGCCCAATCAACAAAATGAGGCAACCATGTCATCGGTTAACGATAGGGATATATCCTTAGAAATATGGCAACAGTGGACACGATGGAAATTCTTTCGCACAAGTGCTTTCGTGCTTGTACTATAATGAATGCTGAGCATAGTCACTTTTCGCATGCGAACCACCAATATAGCAACCGGAACAAGACACCAATTGTGCACTCAATGTGTTACAAGGAAAAAGACAAATATAATCAACCTGTGTGCTAAAAGCTAGCACATTTTTTACTTAATAGAATTTATTACAACAATAATTTCGTTGATATTGGAAAGGACTACCAATTGTTATCAACCAACTTGATAGTCCATCTAGAAGGATTTACAAAAGATATGACATTAGTAGGATCGTGCCACGCTTGGCTATCGAGCGGCTCATCTTGGGCGAAAATATGGTTGTTGATGTACTGATAGAGGGTTGACACATCACCAGTGTGCGGCTGGTCAAGTGGATGTGGCTGGATAATACTTGGAGCATGCCTCCCTAAAGATTCTGACCCTGTTTGATCTGTGACACCCTACTCTCATACTTCTCACGGCATTTCTCTTCACACAAGTTGAAGGAGGATTGGTCATTCTTCAGCTCGTCGCACTTCTGACGGCAGGCACCCGCCCCGATGGTCGCATATCTGAAGTGCTCGGTGAGGCTACACTTCTCCTTGCAATGGTCGATGTCGGTAGGCGTCCCTTTACCCTCGCATTGCTTGTTGCAGTCAGCCGCCTTGGCTACTGTCGTGCTGACCTTGTCAGCAATTTCTCCTGCTAGCACCAATGGGGCCCCCAGGATGAGGGTCACTATGAACAGAGCTCCTACGATGTTCCTAATCTGGGCCATTGTTGTTGTCCCTATTGAGCTATTGGATGACGACGGGTTTATTGGTGGAGCTACCGTGCCGTCCTTTATATATAATGGAGGGGAGCATGTAAATTAGGCATGGGTGTGAGGCCACGAGAGCTTCACGGTCAACCATTTGGTGGTAAGTGCATGCCCTTCTTCGCTCCCCACCAATTTTCTGTTTCTTTCGCTTTACCTCATAGATGTTATTGCCTTGGCAACCATGCATGGGTTTCACCCTTTTTAGCTGGTGGAAACAAATTGCGAAGAGGAAAATGCCAATGCTTAGTGGGAAATAGTATTTTATTGTTGGCAACAATGTATGGTTTTATAATTTTTTTGGTATAACCGTGAACCAAACCATCATTGCTCGTGTGCTAGGCTCCTCGTCTGAAAAATAATTAAACATCAAACTTGAAAACCAAACTGTTGCATGTGCAGCCTATGGTAGCCATCTCAATCTTTGTCGTACTCCTCAGCCGTTGCTATCACCTCGTATGCATTCGCCCTATGATTTGATTGACTTGTTTTATATTTGGTTGGTGTTGGTGTTCATAAGGGCTACAATGGCTATATATCATGACAGCAACTGCTCTAGTCATAAGAAACGTAGTTTCTCACGACGACTAGACAATTTGAGAATCAATTAAAAACAAAGGGTTATTGTTTGAGCACGTGTCATTGAACTTACACTAACAAGTTAACTAATTCATTTTTAATGAGCACTCGATGCTTCCGCATGGTGGCTCAATGCTCCGTGTTAGAGTTATTCCTTCTCGAGTCATGGTGCTTTTAGCTCATTCCAGGGTAACACACAGAAGTGAAAGCAGTATGGGGCATTACCCATGTGGGCAAACCTATTTCCCTATGCCTAATGATCTTTCACTATCCCTGGCCTTCATCACGGGCGAAATTCGTTGCCTTTCATAGAGTGTCATAACGCATTGCCCGAACAAAACTTTGCTCCATCATAAACTTCCCATCAACAAAGAGGCAATGTTGATGTGATAGGCGTCCTGTCCAGATCATATGCAATAATCTAAGTAGTTGTTTCCATGCCTTGTTTTACAAAGTATTGCTTCTCTACTTGTCCCTAGCAATGTTGTACATAGGGAAATAATTTGCGACGTTATTTGTACTAATGCTTGGTGAGTCATCGGTTTGAACACTTTCCATGGTGGACAAACATTGGTGTATTTTCTCAACCGTGCAGCCAGTAATGCTTAAATTTTCTTATGCCCACTCTATCGATAGCGTTCAACCATCAGTACTAGCCCAATCAACAAAATGAGGCAACCATGTCATCGGTTAACGATAGGGATATATCCTTAGAAATATGGCAACAGTGGACACGATGGAAATTCTTTCGCACAAGTGCTTTCGTGCTTGTACTATAATGAATGCTGAGCATAGTCACTTTTCGCATGCGAACCACCAATATGGCAACCGGAACAAGACACCAATTGTGCACTCAATGTGTTACAAGGAAAAAGACAAATATAATCAACCTGTGTGCTAAAAGCTAGCACATTTTTTACTTAATAGAATTTATTACAACAATAATTTCGTTGATATTGGAAAGGACTACCAATTGTTATCAACCAACTTGATAGTCCATCTAGAAGGATTTACAAAAGATATGACATTAGTAGGATCGTGCCACGCTTGGCTATCGAGCGGCTCATCTTGGGCGAAAATATGGTTGTTGATGTACTGATAGAGGGTTGACACATCACCAGTGTGTGGTCAAGTGGATGTGGCTGGATAATACTTGGAGCATGCCTCCCTAAAGATTCTGACCCTGTTTGATCTGTGACACCCTACTCTCATACTTCTCACGGCATTTCTCTTCACACAAGTTGAAGGAGGATTGGTCATTCTTCAGCTCGTCGCACTTCTGACGGCAGGCACCCACCCCGATGGTAGCATAACTGAAGTGCTCGGTGAGGCTACACTTCTCCTTGCAACGGTCGATGTCGGTAGGCGTCCCTTTACCCTCGCATTGCTTGTTGCAGTCAGCCGCCTTGGCTACCATCGTGCTGACCTTGTCAGCAATTTCTCCTGCTAGCACCAATGGGGCCCCTAGGATGAGGGTCACTATGAACAGAGCTCCTACGATGTTCCTAATCTGGGCCATTGTTGTTGTCCCTATTGAGCTATTGGATGACGACGGGTTTACTGGTGGAGCTACCGTGCCGTCCTTTATATATAATGGAGGGGAGCATGTAAATTAGGCACGGGTGTAAGGCCACGAGAGCTTCACGGTCAACCATTTGGTGGTAAGTGCATGCCCTTCTTCGCTCCCCACCAATTTTCCGTTTCTTTCGCTTTACCTCATAGATGTTATTGCCTTGGCAACCATGCATGGGTTTCACCCTTTTTAGCTGGTGGAAACAAATTGCGAAGAGGAAAATGCCAATGCTTAGTGGGAAATAGTATTTTATTGTTGGCAACAATGTATGGTTTTATAATTTTTTCGGTATAACCGTGAACCAAACCATCATTGCTCGTGTGCTAGGCTCCTCGTCTGAAAAATAATTAAACATCAAACTTGAAAACCAAACTATTGCATGTGCAGCCTATGGTAGCCATCTCAATCTTTGTCGTACTCCTCAGCCGTTGCTATCACCTCGTATGCATTCGCCCTATGATTTGATTGACTTGTTTTATATTTGGTTGGTGTTGGTGTTCATAAGGGCTACAATGGCTATATATCATGACAGCAACTGCTCTAGTCATAAGAAACGTAGTTTCTCACGACGACTAGACAATTTGAGAATCAATTAAAAACAAAGGGTTATTGTTTGAGCACGTGTCATTGAACTTACACTAACAAGTTAACTAATTCATTTTTAATGAGCACTCGATGCTTCCGCATGGTGGCTCAATGCTCCGTGTTAGAGTTATTCCTTCTCGAGTCATGGTGCTTTTAGCTCATTCCAGGGTAACACAGTAAGAAAGCGATATGGGGCATTACCCATGTGGGCAAACCTATTTCCCTATGCCTAATGATCTTTCACTATCCACGGCCTTCATCACGGGCGAAATTCGTTGCCTTTCATGGGAGTGTCATAACGCATTACCCTAACAAAACCTTGCTCCATCAGTAAACTTCCCATCAACAAAGAGGCAATGTTGATGTGATAGGCGTCTGTCCGATCATCATATGCAATAATCTAAGTAGTTGTTTCCATGCCTTGTTTTACAAAGTATTGCTTCTCTACTTGTCCCTAGCAATGTTGTACATCGGGAAATAATTTGCGACGTTATTTGTACTAATGCTTGGTGAGTCATCGGTTTGAACACTTTCCATGGTAGACAAACATTGGTGTATTTTCTCAACCATGCAGCCAGCAATGCTTAAATTTTCTTATGCCCACTCTATCGATAGCGTTCAACCATCAGTACTAGCAAAATCAACAAAATGAGGCAACCATGTCATCGGTTAACGATAGGTATATATCCTTAGAAATATAGCAACAGTGGACACGATGGAAATTCTTTCGCACAAGTGCTTTCATGCATGTACTATAACGAATGCTGAGCATAGTCATGTTTCGCATGCGAACCACCAATATAGCAACCGGAACAAGACACCAATTGTGCACTCAATGTGTTACAAGGAAAAAGACAAATATAATCAACCTGTGTGCTAAAAGCTAGCACATTTTTTACTTAATAGAATTTATTACAACAATAATTTCGTTGATATTGGAAAGGACTACCAATTGTTATCAACCAACTTGATAGTCCATCTAGAAGGATTTACAGAAGATATGACATTAGTAGGATCGTGCCACGCTTGGCTATCGAGCGGCTCATCTTGGGCGATAATATGGTTGTTGATGTACTGATAGAGGGTTGACACATCACCAGTGCGTGGCTGGTCAAGTGGATGTGGCTGGATAATACTTGTAGCATGCCTCCCTTGAGATTCTGACCCTGTTTGATCTGTGACACCCTACTCTCATACTTCTCACGGCATTTCTCTTCACACAAGTTGAAGGAGGATTGGTCATTCTTCAGCTCGTCACACTTCTGACGGCAGGCACCCGCCCCGATGGTAGCATAATAAGAGTGTGCTCGGTGAGGCTACACTTCTCCTTACAACGGTCGATGTCGGTGGCGTCCCTTTACCCTCGCATTGCTTGTTGCGATCCGCCTTAGCTTGGCTCTTGTCGTCTTGACCTTGTCGTCAATTTCTCTCCTGCTAGCACCAATGGGGCCCCCAGGATGAGGGTCACTACGAACAGAGCTCCTACGATGTTCCTAATCTGGGCCATTGTTGTTGTCCCTATTGAGCTATTGGATGACGATGGGTTTACTGGTGGAGCTACCGTGCCGTCCTTTATATATAATGGAGGGGAGCATGTAAATTAGGCACGGGTGTGAGGCCACGAGAGCTTCACGGTCAACCATTTGGTGGTAAGTGCATGCCCTTCTTCGCTCCCCACCAATTTTCTATTTCTTTCATTTTACCTCAAAGATGTTATTGCCTTGGCAACCATGCATGGGTTTCACCCTTTTTAGCTGGTGGAAACAAATTGCGAAGAGGAAAATGCCAATGCTTAGTGGGAAATAGTATTTTATTGTTGGCAACAATGTATGGTTTTATAATTTTTTCGGTATAACCGTGAACCAAACCATCATTGCTCGTGTGCTAGGCTCCTCGTCGGAAAAATAATTAAACATCAAACTTGAAAACCAAACTGTTGCATGTGCAGCCTATGGTAGCCATCTCAATCTTTGTCGTACTCCTCAGCCGTTGCTATCACCTCGTATGCATTCGCCCTATGATTTGATTGACTTGTTTTATATTTGGTTGGGGTTGGTGTTCATAAGGGCTACAATGGCTATATATCATGACAGCAACTGCTCTAGTCATAAGAAACGTAGTTTCTCACGACGACTAGACAATTTGAGACTCAATTAAAAACAAAGGGTTATTGTTTGAGCACGTGTCATTGAACTTACACTAACAAGTTAACTAATTCATTTTT